TTATCTAGGATGTGTGGATCTCAGTCAATATTATCAGGTTAGTATATTGGCTACAGAGATGCCCTACATTATCTAGGATTATTATCACTATCATCATCTGTGTTGTAACACCACAGGCATCCTACCAAAAACAAATGAGAAACACCAAAGCAAAGAGAGAGTCTGTGTGGGAGGCTACAATCACTGCTTTAATACATGTATCACTTTCTGTTTTGACTGATTGATATTGAATGATCTTTATGTTATTACAGATACAGAAAAGGTAGAAAGAGCATTACACTTGTCCCTAGCAGCTTTACTTGGGAGTAACGTTTACAACTTTGGAGAGCTTGTGAGTAAATAACAAATTATTATGATCAAAATTTATGATTAATAACAAGTTGTACTCTTTGCTGATGTTCTGGCATTTCTTGTCTTCCAGCTTGCCCACCAAGTCTTGAAAGCCATCCAAGGAACTGAACACAATTGGATTGTAGAACTTTTGTACGCCTTCAATAGTGGTAAGATACATTTGAAATTCCTACAGATTTCTCCATTCATGTGTATCCCTTTATTCCTAAGTACCAGTTCCTAAGTGCCTAGATAATGCTTTATGTATTAGTAAGAGTGGAATAATTTAATGTACAGTACATCGCAACTTTGTAGCATGTATATGTAGACACCTATTTCAATAAGCGTTGTCATCTCAAAGGCAATAGGAGATAGCAAGGTCATTCTGACATGGAAATAGTTTTGTTGAACACAAAGAACATTAAATCATTTTCAATACTAAAGTCCATGTTCTTGAAGAGAATAAGAAGCAGAACACAAAGTCATTCTAGCTATTCTTGGATCTTGAAATAATTCCTGAATCCTGGAATCTCCTATCGCTTTTTGCCTATCGCCTTTGGTGATAACAACATCTATTGAGATAGGTGTATATTGTCATAAAGTACTGACAGTATTACATTGTTTTATAGGTAACTTATCAAAGTTTGAAAGCCTACGACCGCAATGGGAAAAGCAGGTAAAAAATTTATATAATTATGTAATACTATTATTATCTTTTTCATACTCAGTTGTTAAGATTTCCATTCTTATTTTCAATTGTGAATCTGTGGGACATTTTTATGATGGTGATATATTTATTCTCTCGGTTACAGCCTGACATGGTAAAAAATCAATTGGCTCTTCAACAGAAAATCCGTCTTCTCTGTTT